AGGAAGGGAGGGAGGGAGGGAGGAAGGGAGGGAGGGAGGGAGGGAGGGGAACAGAGGATGGGGGAAGAAGTTGTTGGGAGGGTGAATTCTGTTGTAAGGTAGCAGTGGAGGGTGAGTGAGGCTGAGTATGATTAAAATACATCCTATGTATTAAGTTCTCAAAATTGTTAAAGAATATTTTTTGGTAAAGTTAACTTTTATCAGAGTACAAGATACACACAGAGAAAGTGCAGGCTGGGCAGTGGCCGGACTCTGTAAGCATGAGGACTTGAGTTCAGATCCCCAGCACCAGGTGAAAAGCCTGGTAGTGGGAGGGGGGCAGGGGAATCCCAGGGGCTTGCTGACCAGCCATTCTGACTCAATCAGAAAGTCCTGATTCATTTCTCAGGTTCAGTGTGAGAGTGAGGATAACACTATTGTTGACCTCCACAGGGATGCACACCCACATACAGCCACACAAGCACATATGTACAGAATTATGCAAAATCTGACTAGACAGCTAGATGTATATTTACAATGTGACATATTTGTATTTGTGAAACTCAATTTTTTTTATAGAACATTTTGAGTACTTCAGAAGGAGGAATAGGAGCACACATCTATAACCTCAGGACCCAAGGTTTGCAAGTTGAAGGACAGCCTGTGCTACATAGAGATTGCTGGCCAGCCTGGGCTACAAAGTGAAACTTCTTCTGCCCTCTACCTTAAAAAACAAAAGAGCAGAACGAAAAGGGAAGAGGGAGGAATGGAGAAGGACAGAGGAGGGAAAGAGGAGGGAGAAGGATAAAGCAGCAGTGAGACACACAGGAAAGACAGAGGACCACAGGGCTTCCCTCAAGCTCCATCATGGCCCCCCTTTCCAAAGGTCACCGTGTTCTTCCTTCTGTGCATTTGTTGTCTACTTCTAGTTAGTTTTTACTTCTGTTGTGTAGTAGTGCAGGTACCTAACCCAGGGCTCCAGGCCTGCCCCAGGTGTGCCAGAGTCACATCCCCAACTCCGAGGATTTGATAACTGTGTAATCAACTTTCTGGGTGATTCTCTTCACCCCCTAATCCTAACCTGGCCTTACTCTAAACCCAAGTGGATCTGGGACACCTGCCGTATACTTCTGGGACACCTCGAGTGTCCTGGACCAACAACTCATAAGGAGTTATGAGAATTTTGTTTAAGAACCCATTACTCTGGAAGCAGCATATACACTCATACAGCTCACCACCTTCAAACTCAGTTTTTAAATTATTTTTGTTTAATTGGCTTAAAAAATTGTAGATTTCTACATGACTTTTTCATGCAGATCTAGTTTCAGATGAACTTCCCTCCTCTTCCATCACCTCCTTCCTCCTCCCCTAC